TCCACTCTAAATTATTGGCTTTTTGGCCACTATTTTTATATTAAAGAAACTAAAGGAGTAATGAACTTGCTCAAAAATAAATATGTTTGCTTTTAGGAGGAAAAAAACATGTTTTGATATTTACCAAGTAAATTAAATTTGCATTTTGACTTGCCACATAAATTTGTTCCCCCTGTTTGCTTCTAGCTGCTTTTACACAGCCGTGCTTGCGTGTGAGTGTGCACCATGTGTGAGGCTTTAAATATCAGTCGGCCTTCCTAACAGCTGTGCCCTCTGGCTGACGTAATGCTGCTGCAGTAAACTTTGAGTAAATCTCTCCGGTTGTCCTCAGATGGGATCGGAGTCACCTTCTCAGGACAAGTGTTTGAGGTGTCAACTTGTCAAACCTAAAAATACACTGCAGCATCAACTGAGCATGTGCAAAGCCAAAAACAGCCAATCACATCCTAATAAATGTTAGGGTTAGGGCTGTGAATGTCTGTGCATTTTGTTACACGAGAAAGAGCTTGTGGGAGTTTCAAATGACAATAAATGTAATAATAAAGAGCCATAATTAACAACTTTCCCTTGGTCTTTAATAAAAGCAGTTTTACAATTACGAACTAGTAACATATATATATTTTTCTATTATTTACAGTCTGCCAAACCTGGAGTCTGAAGGGGATGAGAGGTAAGTGTTGCAAGCAGAAAGCTAAAATCATCGTGTATTTTTAGTAAGGCCTTAAAGTGCTCGGACAGACTGTGCTGGTTACTGTGTGAACTATTTTCACAGCAACAATAGTGTGCAGTATAAATCAGGATTATAAATAGAGCTCTGTTGACAGTTCAGAGTTGTCACTGCTTTAGCTAACACACATGGAAGCCTTATCATAGCACACTGTGGCTGATTGTTTCTATTTGTGACTCAGCTTTCCTTTCACTGCTTTCTCACTCTGGACCTACATGTACACATAATGAAGCTTCCATATTTCAAGTATTTGTGTTGTGTTTACTTTTGAAAGCTGTTGTTTCGTCATTAACTGATGCCTCTGTTTCTGCTGACTGAACACGTAACTCTTTGCTATGTGTGTGTCTAATGGTAGCATGATGTTTTATGGGTAGGAGGGCAAGAAGCAAAGACCTGAGGCAACACACATCTCATCTTTATTTAAATAGGAATAATCTAGTTTAGCTAGATTGCCCCAGTGACTGGAAACAGATTCAGTTGCGTTAAATAATAGATTACTGCCCAGTGAAGTTATTAACGCAATTTAAAAGTATTTTAAAGCTTACCAATCAGAAGGTTGGTAGTTTGATTCCTGGCTCAGACCTGAGTTCACAGGTACACACCAGCCTTATTTTTTTTTCTTCACTCAGTTTACCTCACTTTTTTATTGTTAGCAGCATCTAACAAAATGAATAAGGTACCAGTGAATGGCCACACACATCCATACACCAGCCGCAGACTTAGTGCTGACGTACTAATCTCAGGCGGAGGAATCAGATTCTCAGAGAACTGCAGGCACCACAATCCAAACGGGGTGATGCTGATTTCCAGTTCAGCAAATTACAGGGAGAAAAATTAAGAGGGCGTGGGCGTTATTTTAGGAAGCATCAGATCACCGCTAATGATAGACTTGCTCATGTAGGGCAGTGGTTGGCCTGTTTGTGTTGGGGTGGCAGTGACATGATTGCCATAGTGAGGGAAGAGTACGCGGGTTAGTGAGTGTGTTTGGTTTTTGTTAATCATTACAGGAATTTGGTGGAGTCAACAGACTGTTTATTTCAGGGGGAACAATGCCTGTTTAATTATTTGGGCGTGTCTCTAATGAGTGCCGTGTGTTTGGTATTTTCTCCACAGTCCCACAGACAAAGACGCAGCAGGTGAAGGAGACATCAGGTGAGCGCAGTCTCCATGGAGATGCATCACCAATAACAGCAGAGCCATTAGAGATGTATCTGTGGGTGGTTATCTACAGTGTGGGCCATTTATATGGATACACCGTAATAACATGGGAATGGTTGGTGATATTAAAGTCCTGTTTGTGGCACATTAGTATATGTGAGGGGGCAAACTCCTCAAGATGGGTGGTGGCCATGGTGGCCATTTAGAAGTCGGCCATCTTGGATACAACTTTTGTTTTTTCAATAGGAAGAGGGCCATGTGACACATCAAACTTATTGGTAATGTCACAAGAAAAACAATGGTGTGCTTGGTTTCAATGTAACTTTATTCTACTACGTTCTGTTTTCTGTCTTTATTGATCACCCTCAAGAACTAGCTATTCCCACTGCTTATATACTTGCCCCAGACCCTCGGTTACATATTGACTCCACAAATACGGAAGGTCGTTAATGATCCCAGAGGTTAAATAGATTTTTAACCTTCACCCATGTGTGAAACTATACACTCATTAAGAGGTAAAATGTAAACATAGAGATATTATTGTGTTTGTTTGACCCTGCTTTAAGCCTGCTTGTGTCGTAAATCTCTGGTAGGAAGAGAGGCCCTGTGGCCTACGCTTCCCAGAAGGCCTGGCTGCTGAACGCCACAGTGGTGGAGAACATCACTTTTGAGATGCCCATGATAAAATCAAGGTAAGACCTCATACTTTTATTGCACTGTTTAAAAAAACAAAGATATAATGAGTATATTTGTTCACTCACGCTTTTCAGTGGATGCCGCTGTTGGTTGAGGTGCCGCACGCTGCAGGCATATGTATGTTTGGTATAACTGGATCATTCACACCAGCATTTTTTATACCCAGTTTTTGTCACAGGATAGGGAGTGTGGCAAGCAGGCAATGGACCCAGAATGCTAGACTCAAATGGAATTAAACTCGAAATCTCAGCTTTTATTTTGCTGGCAATAAGGTGAAGAAAACAAAAGCAGACACAGTAACAGAGCAGGGTAGGAACTGAGGGATGGAGGCTCACGCAGCACGAGGGAGGACCCGACAAAGAACAAAGGGAGACACGGACAACATATACACGGGAGGAGATTAGGGCAGAGTGGACAAACATGGGAGCACAGCTAAACAGAATCTAAGACAGACAGAAGAAGCAAAACTGAACCTGATGCACAGAAAACAAGAAGACAAGGACTGTCAAAATAAAACAGAAGGCAACTAACACAGAGCCCAGGACTATAACTTATAACTTGACAAGACAGGGACGCCAGACAACCACTGAGACAGAAGACAGTCAGACAATGACTTCGTACAGGAGGTATGAAACACAGAGAAGAGACTAGGACAGACTGGACAGGGAGGGGAACTAATACAGTCAAACAAAACAGTAGAAACAGGCGTACTAGCAAGAACTATACTCGAGACTAAATAATTTAGAACAAGAACACGAGTCCAAAACAAAAACCAGGACCATGAACAGTTTTCTGTTACGTATAGACACAACACTACTTATTAACACTACTGCCTGCCTGGAGTTAGGTGCCTTTTTTTTGCTTGAATAATTCGTAGGTCATTATTAAGTGGTTGAATGCCCATAGATAAACTTTGAATAACCTTTAAAGACCTTTAAAGACTTTAAAGAACTATTATGAAGTCTGGCACCTGCAAAGAAATGAGGGGCTGCACAGACTTTTGCACTTTTGCAGCTTTGTGGTTTTCACACTCTTGTTTAGAGGATTTTTGTCTTTGTTTTCCTTTTTGTGTGTCTGTGGATGTGCAGAACATGTCATACCATAAGTAACCAGTGTATGAGCTCTACTGAAATTCAAATTGTTGTCACTGTGCTGTTGTGACACGTGCAATCACAACAATGTTAAAAATAACATCCAGAGTTGTTCATTATAACAAGGGGATCTACTCTCAGTCAAGTCGAGCAGTTTAGCCAAATTAGAGCCAACAGCACTTCTGCTCCCTCCAGCAACTGTAGTAAATTGGATGTGAATAGTCAATAGTTCTGTTATGAACTCTTCACATAAGCAGCCTTGACACTGAAACACCTCAAGCCAGGGTATTTTGTTGCTGAAGGTGTGTGGTTCTTTGTGCCTCTTGTGTTGTGATGCAGCGTGTCTCCAGTTTTGCTCGCTGTTGAAAACGCCTGTGGAGGGACAGTCTAGATACAAACATGCCGCTTTCATCCACACAACAAATGGTATTTCTCAAAGGTCGAATGCATTTATGGCATCGTCTTGGGTCTCTGTGGCTCTAATGGACTGTTTTTGATAAAACAGGTTTAATGGACTACTGTGCTTTGTTGCTGTGGAGATGTTCAATAAAACAGTCTCCAGTCTCGCTCTATCGCCGCTGTCCTGCTGCGCTGTCTGTTTTATCCAGCAAAATCTGGATTACCACCGGGCTGCAGCAGGTCTTTCCATGAATTTCCAAGCTGTTTAATCAAGGCTGTTGTAACCTGCTGTGTCCGTTATTGTATCGCATTTGCTTATGTTTGTGCAACAGTTGGTTCAAGTGATACAGTTCCTCCAAAGCTCTGCTCCAATTCTATGGCTATTAGCAAATGCCAAAGAAACATAAACAGAACACTTTATCACCGACCTAGCTAATATGTAAGTTTGGACATTCACTAAGCAGAGAGCATGTATTTCTCCACCCTGACATAGACCCCAAACACTAAACTCAGGCTTTGATTCAACATTGTGCTGCAAAACAGTTGAATTCCTGCATTTGGAAAAAGCCCACAATTTGTCCCTGTGTATCCACAAATATAAACCATGAGCTAATCTGTTTTGTTTTTAATTTAAAAAGCAGACATCTAAGCATCTTCTTTAATAATATCACCTTAAAAAGACTATAGAAGAAGTCTGTGCATTATCTAAACTTCCCAGAGATATTAGAGGAGAGTTTTTTGGTATTTTCTGGACAACGACAATATTTTTAGGTCATAACCTTCTTGTTACTTCAGTAATTGAGTGACTGACAAACTGTCATGTCAAACTATGTGTGGCTTATGTTTTACACTGTGTGGGTTATCTTAAATAGAGAGTAAAGAAATTCTTGTATCGCCTCTTTAGTCTTTGTCTTTGTGGCGTTGAACCCTTTAGGGTAAAACCTTTTAAGATGAACCAGAGAAGCTGCTATTTTCAGTTTCCTCCACTCTCTTTCATGGACTGTGTTATGCATACATAACGCAGTCCCATGAGTTACATTTATGTGAATGTGAATCAATGGCCCAAGAGATAATAATGAGCAGGGCTGTAGTTTCCCTCTGGCTGGTATTAGCAGCTGCTCTCTGCCCTCATCTGTATTCTGTCTCTGTTTCTGCCCGGCAGATACAAAGCTGTCATCGAGGCCTGCTCGCTTCAGCCTGACATTGACATTCTTCCACAGGGAGACCAGACAGAGATCGGGGAACGGGTCAGTATCACAGTAACATTTATGAGTTTCTGTCTGGCTGTAGCTCCCACTGTGGCTCGTTTTATTGCAGAATCATTTGTCATCGTTACTGTGTAGCAAGATTTTGATGTTTGCGTATCAGGAAACTAGACTGACCCTGTTCATTTAGAGCGCTGTCATGTTGGATTTCTTCATGCACCAGTAATGCAGGAAATAAACCCTAGTCTCCTTTGCTCCTCTAAGGAAAAGAGCCGCACATATTTCTGGATATTGTTAATTCATCTTTGTGTTGCAGCCCCTATGAGATAACATTTTGCTGTCCTCCGATGCAGGGCATCATCCTATCAGGTGGACAGAAACAGCGAATCAGCGTGGCCAGAGCCATGTACCAGCAGACCAACGTTGTCTTTCTGGTGAGACTGCACACAGAAATAACTGAACAGTTTAAACGGATGGCTTCTCAGGCTGCACCTGTGATTTATCAGTATTCAATGAGAAACTGTTTCTGTAGCACTACCTGACGGTGCTTGTGATTCTCTTTCTGATGCCTCCCTGTGTGACATAAATAGCTACACACTCTAAGAAGCCCAGAGCAGAAGGTTTAAAAAACATTCCCTGCCAATAAATAGAAATAACTTTATATGACATCGATCTCAAAATTTCCTCTATTAATCCTTCAAATATTAAAAAAATAGAAGTTGAAGAAACAGGAGAAACACCACAATGACTTTCTGTGTGCTCACGACTCATGACTGGGGGGAATGTAGTGTTCAGTATCTTGTTCAATGACACTTTGACCTTTTAGCTTGTGGATAACTTACCCGATACCCTGAGCCACAGCCACCCTGCCCAGCATTTTTGAATTAATATTTAAATTAATATTAAATGTTGTAGTGTAACACATCCTAACACATCCCCATTTATAGTATGTATACATCTATAACACCTTGTGATCACATCCTTACAGTAACATCTAATTTATATTCACAAAACTTCTGTTTCGCATGTTATATGATGATGCCATCAGGTTACCTGGCAACCAGCTAACAACAGCCTAAAATAAGCTGATGTCTGTTTTGTTTTTGTCTTTATCTGCCTACAACACCTTATGAAAGCATTCTGTCATTTTCATTTCATTACATAATAACTTCTCACGTTTACTCAAAAACTTAATTATATATAATATAACTATGATGTTGGCCTAGCAACAACTTAACAGTGGGCATATATGTATGTATATTCACCATCTGAATCATGTTTTCAGGAGATGTATTGGTTTGTTTTCCTCTGAACTTCTCTACATATGTAGGATGACCCATTTTCTGCTTTGGACATCCACCTGAGTGACCATCTGATGCAGGATGGCATCCTGAAGCTCCTGAGAGAAGAGAAGAGGACCGTGGTGCTGGTCACACACAAACTGCAATATTTACCACATGCAGATTGGGTAAGAACTGCTTAATAGTTAATAAGACTGTCCGTCTGGGATGGCTGGTATATAATGGACGATAAAGACATCTTATTGTCTCATTTATGACGCACTTTATCTCTCAAAGATCCCAAAGCAAATAGAGATTGAGTCTCAGCTAAATACAGATCATAATTTTTCTATCTTCTTTTGTGTGTGTGGCTATTATTAGATTATTGCCATGAAAGATGGCACCATCCAGACTGAGGGGACTCTGAAGGACGTCCAAAACTCTGAACCTGAACTCTTTGAGCAGTGGAAAACCCTCATGAACAGACAGGATCAGGAGTTTGAGAAGGTGATTAATGACTGCAAAAGCAAAATGGTATCTTTTAATCAGCGCCAAGAATCTTTAATTTGTGTAATTTGAACACTTTCTTTTGTAGATCCAGGTCAGACAGTCACGCCGTCTCTGTCTGGAATGAAAGTTAGATTACCTGGGTGTTTTTATGCTGAAATAAATTCATTGTTGATCTCTCCTTCAGGAAACTGTGGCAGAGAGTATGACAGACCTAGAGAGAAAAAACCTGCGGAGGGCCATGTATTCAAGAGAGGCAGCCAGGACTGAAGAGGATGAGGAAGGTGAGAGGACACAGGAAAGAGTCACGATGACAGCAGCTGGAATGTGCCTGACTGGAGTGGGTGCTTCTCAGCCTGATTTAATGCTTATGTTTCCCTTAATGATAGATGCAGGATGACAATTCCCCATCTCCTGCTGAGAGCTTAAGCTTATTCGGCTTATTTTAATGTTAACATCTTTTGTAATGTCTGCAGTTATTTAATGACTCATAGTTCCCTGTATTTGATTCCTTCCTGTCTCTTATCTTGGTTTGGTCTTTTTGTCTTTTCGTTCCTCTTTTGACCTTTTCAGCAACTGGATACGTCGCCATGTTATTTCCCACCGCCTCCTGCTGTGATTAACCATTGAATCTGATCCTTTCTCTGTGTGTGTGTGTTTGCTGTTGAACGAACACCTGCAGTTGAAAAACGCTAAGGTGCGCTGGCTGTACACTTTATCTTTGTTCTGTGTTGTCTCCCGTGTGCTGGTGGCACCCCGGGGTGGACTTGTGCGATGGCTCCAGCTACCCTCATGTTCGATCGAGCAGGTGTGGCCAGAAAGCATGGTTTGAAAAAAAAAGTTGAAACAGAAAAAGACATTTGTAGCATTGTAGCGCTGCTAGCTAACGGCACATGTGTTTGCTTCTCTATTTTAGAATCTCATCATCCATTTTCCTGCTCTTTCCCCCTCCCAAACATTTGTCTCTCTTGCTCTTGAAGGCTTACTTAGTGTGAGCATGACTGTAGTTGAGAGTAGTTGTTTCTTTAGGCCTGCCACTCATTATTTCCCCATCTTTTCATCCCTTTTTCTCTTGCTTCCACTCCACCTCCAGCTTGTCTGAGCCTCTCAGACACCCACATGCAGCCTCATGCTCCAAAGCTTGCTGCTTGATGTAATGTGATACATTTAAATCCGAAGTGGGAAAAAGGTTGGAGGTCGTTACATTATCTCTTCACCCCCGAGTCAGTGTGCGGTGGTCACCCTGGTGCTCCTGAAAAACATGCATTTCATGGGAATGAGCGACTGCTTGTCTTTGTGGAGTGTAGCTTCTGTAGCCTCTAGCACACCTTCTCCTCTCATTTGGACCTCTGTCTATTATTTCTTCACTTCTCTCCTTTCCTGTGCTAGTCGTGGATTGTCAGACTGGCGCAGGAGGAGAAATGTTGAGCAGTATGTCAGAAAAGGAAAGAGGAAAGAGAGAAAAAGTGAAGGAATGAAATATTTGAGAAGAAGGGTAGAAGGAGAGAAAGAAATGTAATGAGCGTCTGAGCTGTGAGTTGTAGCAGAGCAGGGCGTTTTTAGACAGAAATAAGCAAATTTACATAAGATTAAAAAAAATGTGACAATGGAAGCAGTCCTTGCAAAATAGATAACTCGGCCTAATTACATCTCACAATTGGCCAAAAACAAAACCTTTAACACTGCACTTCATCTCTGTTTCAACCCCAGAGGAATCTGTGGAGAGTGAAGATGATGACAACCTGTCACAGGTAATGCGCCAGAGAGCTACCATCCCCTGGCGCTCCTGCGGCACCTACCTGTCCTCTGCAGGGCTCCTCCTGCTCAGCCTGCTCCTCCTGTCGCAGCTCCTCAAACACTCCCTCATGGTGGCCATTGACTACTGGCTGGCCCACTGGACGTCACATGTCATCGCAGCCAAGAAAGACGCCTCATCTCACAACTGTACCATCGTACAGGTGAGAGGATGCACCGCTCAGCTTTTGATTTAGACACTTAGCTCTTTGTTTCTGCTTCTCTTGAGATATTTTAGAGCCATAAAGTATTTTCTGCTTCGTTCACACTGCCTTTTTAAAAATTATTTGAGCATCAATACAATCAGTGGGTCATTTTTTTAAAAGATCCATCTAGTGGGATGAAAACAAACGACACCAATTTAAATTACTGTATAAAATGTTTGGCATCATTTGACTTATAAGCCAAACATGCTTTTCTGTAAGAGGTAAATATTAGCTAACGTTAAAGGAATAATTGATAAGCTTCAAAAAAAGACAGACTGCATTAGATGCAAATAGTTTATCTGATTGTAGGCCAGCGTGAATTACATAATATTCTCACTAACTCTCAGTTAAGCAGAGCTGAACTACAACACAAACACACGCAGATCCAGACCAACACCAACACACCCTGAAGAGACTGCAGCTCGGCCTCATCTGAATATTAAAGCTGAACTAACATATTTATAGAAGTCAGTTTCCAAATGGAAAATGTTCGGGTTAAAGCATGTGTGAGGTCTGATGTGAATGCCAGCTGCAGTGCTGTAATTTATGAAGAAGTTTAAACTCTCAGTAACTGAGTCATAAATCTGAGTGGGTAAAAGCTGCACTCCTGTCCACACCAGGTGACTGTAGAATGATTTAGCACCTATAAAGCATTTCCTACACCCTTTTTCTACTTACTACTTGAATGTTTTAGTTACCGCTTAACCAAAATGGTCAGTAGCCTTCACACACTAACTGTGCATAAAAAAACACTCAGCAGAGGAAGAGTTAACTTATGTCATCCACATTCAAGAAGTCGCACAGACTGTTAACAAAGGATTGTGTTTCAAGACCAGTAAAACAACAATGTCATCAGTAGTTGCTGTATATGTATATTTGTGTGCATGCGTGTCTGTGTTATGTGTCCATGTGTGAAATGCCAGGTCACGTGAAGGCCGTCGACAGACTGCATAAAAAGCACCGTGTCCTGCTGAATATAAGCAGCAGCCGTCTGTCTCTTTCTCTCACCCACAAACATCCACTGCACGTCCAGCTAAGCGTTGATAATAAATTGTCACTTGAATGCTGATCACAACTTGTCTGGCTGAACTTCAGTGCGTCGTTGCCAGCTTTATCTAATCTGCGCTGTGCTACAGACTAATCCACGAGGGGACTCTCAGAAGTCCTGTTCTGACAAACGCACACTCGGCCACTTCACATAAATGCCACACTGCTTCTCTCCTTCTAGAGAGAGGAAATAATTGAGCAGTGAGAGGATTAGATAGTGGAAATGCTTCATGTCACAAGTGGCAACTGGGCTGAGTGATGAGCAGCTAAAGGGTCTTTTTTTTCCAGTGATATCTCTGATATATTTTGCTCTTCTTTTGTAGGTCCTACCTGCAACTTTTTCACTGTATATAAAAATAAGCATCAGCTAACATTAATAGCTGAGATGGTAATGAGTTCATCTAAACTCCCAAATATATATTCTGAGAGGTGCTGATGACATCGATTTTTAAAAAATGACCCTTTTTTTCTCCTTCAAATAGTAAATCTTATCATTTTATATCATTTCTATGTTCTAATGTGAATAAATGTGGCTTTGTGATATTTGCATTTCACTGAATTCTGTTTTTAATTACACTTTGCACACCTTCCCAGCTTTTTTTGGAATTATCTATCAGTTTGAGGTGCCAGACCTGCTTTTGGATTATGCTTCCCGGCTTTTGTTTAAATTTAGATCAGTGTGACTCAGCGGGGAGAGCAGGTTATGTACAAATCACAGGTTTTAGCCAAGTGAAGCATGCCGTGCTGCAACTGTTTCACTCATGCAGCATAATCATCAGTTCAGTTTGCTTTGTGATCAGCTGACTTACGAGATCTAATCAATCAGGACTGCATGGAAACCATTATAACCATAAAATTCCCACGATTACGCCCTGAAGCTTGTCTTTATATGTTTGCTGTCACTTACATTTTAATGTTTGGTGCTAGAGCTTTTATCTCTTGGCCACTGCTCCTTCAGAGGATGGAGTGCTGTCCCTTAACTCTGTCATTAGTAAATGGTTAGGATCTTGATATTAGGTCTACTTTTATAAAATAAATGTAGCTATTTCTTTAGCGAACTGTGTGAAATTGAAGAAATTTGAATTAGTGATATGTGAGAATGAAAATGAAGATAAACATTTCTTCGTGTTATGATCAAAAGTTATCACATAAAATAAAAGAGGATAGAAAATTTGGATCCAGGGTGAAGAGAATAATTAGATTGGAAGCAAAAGGAAGAAGAAAATAGTTCCCCAGCCCTCTTTATTTCTCTTTTTCTGTTCAAATATTACCAGCTTAGCTTGGAAACTCTCACTGGCTTTTGTCCTAGACAGCTGATTTTTAACCAGCCTCGATATTTAATTGTGTTTATAATTACAACAAAGTAAGTAGGACGACAGACTCTTCTTTCTCAAACAACACATAGCATTGTGTTCATGCCTTTTATAACCCCCTCTGTGTGTGTGTGTGTTATAGGACTGTGGCTTCAGCCACTCCTGGTATCTGTCTGTGTTCAGTGTGCTCTGCTGCCTGGGCATCGTCCTCTGTCTCGCCACCTCCGTGGCTGTGGAGTGGACCGGTCACAAAGTGGCCAAAGAGCTCCACCACAACCTGCTCAACAAGATCATCCTGGCCCCCATGAGGTGCGACGCTCAGCGCGTTTGTGTGTTTGTCTGTGTGCACGTGCGTGTGTGTGGGTGCATTATGATGTGTGAAAACGGGCAGAGAAAGATGTGTGTTTGCTGATGATATAAGAGAAAACACAGTTAAAAGGTTTTTTGCCTCATTACTCTGAGCACCATCTGCTTTCCTCATGCAAAACCCAGGAGACATCACCTGCCTCAAGACACATTGGAAAGCACTGTATATACACATAAAGAAGCTGCATTAACATACTGTGCAGAATTCACATGAATGAATGTAAACTCAAGATTCAAGATCTTTTATTTGCCATGTGCATAGTTATACAAGTACAACACGCAGTGAAATGTGTCCTGATACGCTCCTCGACTGTGCAAAAAGAGAGAGAAAACATTATATACAGTAAGTAAATATATACAAAGAGGACATTATGTGCAGTAACTGAGCCAGACAACTCTGGACAAAATCTATTTCCATCTGTAAGTCAACGTTTCGGATTATTGGCTCAAAATTTGGCATGTTAAAATTTTAACTTACTAAATCAAGCTTCTGAAAACAACTCAAATATGAGAAAATAACATGAATGTTTGAGTTATAAAGTGGAAATGCATTTTTTTCAGTGGCAGAAGCATCCACACTATTTTTAAATATTGAATCTTATTTTATTTTATTGTATAATTCTGATCTTTGAAAATAACCTTATGAGATTAAATCAGTCATGCCAAGGCACTTTACGTTGTAAGGTTCAGTCTTAACAAGATGATAGAAAGGATCCCCTGCGAGCAAGGTCCCATATCAGAGGAAGAGACCCCAGGTGGTTGGGGGTGAGCGGAAAGAGGTGGGAGAAAGCCCACAGGTGAAAACACAAAGTTAATGACATGCAGTAGAAGCACAGAACTGCATGGAGAGTGGAAAAGAGCCGAATGGAGAATGCTCAGTGCATCATGGGAAGTCTCCCAGCAGCCTGAGCCTATAACAACATAACAAATGGTTAAGAGTCACCTGATCCAGGCCTGCCTATAAGCTTTATCAAAAAGAAAAACTTTTAAGTCTAATATTAAAAGCACAGACACCTCTAAGGGAGCCAAGTGCTCTATTTGGGATAATTTGATGGAGCTCAGGTCTTCGTATGTGAGGTATGTGAGAAGGATTTTAAATTCAATTATGGATTTAACAGAGAGCCAATGAAGAAAAGCTAATCTCTTTCTAGTCCTTGTTAGACCTCCAGCAGAAGCATTTTTGATAAGCCGGCAGTATTTCAGAGAGTAATCTGGTCATTTTGATGATAAAGTCCAGGGGATTTTACTCTCTTTCTTCTCTTCAGGCTCTTTGAGACCACTCCTCTCGGCAGCATCCTAAACAGATTTTCCACTGACACCAACACGATCGATCAGCACATTCCCACCACCCTCGAGTGCCTCTCCCGCTCCACCTTGCTATGCGTGTCCGCTTTGGGTGTCATCTCCTACGTCACACCCGTTTTCCTCATTGCCCTTCTGCCGCTGGCTGTCACCTGCTACTTTATTCAGAAATACTTCCGGATGGCTTCCAGGTGAGTCGGACGGGATAGTTGGAGGGAAGTCACAGACACATTGCTATATAGCAAGATTTTTTTTTTTTTGGTGGGACAAAATAAATATTCCTTTTCAGAATGAAATTCATTAGATTTATGATTTGGATGCAAAAATCTAATATCTGAATGTGGTTCAGCTGATATTTCCCCGTTTGCTGTCTCTGCTATGTTCTGGTCAGGGACCTGCAGCAGTTGGAGGACAGCACACAGCTCCCTTTACTCTCCCACTTCTCTGAGACAGTTGAAGGTCTCACCACTATACGAGCCCTCAGGTAACACATGCTTACATCCTTGGTGAAAATGGGAACTTTTAAAAAGCCATAGCCGAGGTTAAAAATACAATATTTTTTAGAAGACTTCAGAACGCTGTAGGCTACTTGCATGCAAACAGAGACACACAAAAGCTTCAGCATTTACGACTGGACTAGAGTGGACTGTTGGTTAGGTAATTATGTACTGTAGAAGTGAAAATGCCAAAAGCTTATTTCAGGTATTTGGCTGAAATCAAACATTCAGTGACAAAGGAGCCACAAGTGCAAACATTTGAAGTTGTTTTCAGATTCTTGAGATCTTTGCACATTTGGAAAGGCAGCGTTTATTGAAATATCCTTACATATGTGGCATTTTCCTGAACCCGAAAATGTCAAAAGAAATTTCAGCCTTAAATACCAAACAGCCAAAGCCATTAGTTTGATTTCTGTCACTAAAATGTCATTATATTCCTAAAAGATAAAGAGCAATGAGAAATAGCATACGGTGCTCTTCTTAGATGTAGATGTAACGCAGTCTGTGATACAGTGAAATAACAAATGAATGAATTAAACCCCTTCTGTTGGCAGGTATGAGCCCAGGTTCAGACAGAGGTTACTACAGTTCACCGATGCCAACAACATCGCCTCTCTCTTCCTCACAGCAGCCAACCGTTGGCTGGAGGTCCGCATGGTAATGATCCGTCTGCTGCGCCCTTCTTTAAAATTCCCATCAGTTCTGCTTCACTGTTTGTCAGATATCTGCTTCACATTTATGTCGATGTTGCTGGGTAACTGCTCCCTCTGTTGGGGTCTATAAAACACTGAATTTTTCATTCTCATATTAGCTTGAAATGCTGTCTACATGTCATGTTTTATGTATTGACCGTGCTGCTCACAGTTCATTCGGCTCCTTGTGTTTCACAGCAGCAGAAACCTTTGAAATGTTGATGAATGCAAACAAGAACACGCCCCCACTGTCATGTCTGCTAACAATAAACCAATCTACAATAATGGATCTCTTTAAGCGTTATTTACCTTCTTCAGTTATTAAGTGAAGCGTTAACTTCTCGCTGCGATGTTGACTTCGTCTGTCTCTGCAGGAGTACATCGGAGCCTGTGTGGTGTTGGTGGCGGCGGTAGCCTCCATCACCAATTCGCTCTACAACCAGCTGTCCCCCGGGCTGGTGGGGCTCGGTCTGACATACGCACTCATGGTGAGAGTGTGTGTGTGTATGTGTGTGTGTTTAACTGTTTAGCTGTTAAGCTATTTACAGGTTTAAGCTCAATGTTGCAAAAACCTCCCGCAGCACTAGTAGTATAAAGAACACTTTCATTACTTGACCAATGTGTTTCATTTGTAGTTAATTTATTTTAAAAAAGGATGGAGAAAATTGTCTTTTGTAACAATTTCTTTCGTTTGTTTCTACTGATTCTTACATGTTTTAGTGCAGACAGATAAAAATAACTTTTACAGTCACAGTAAAAAGAAAATGTGTCCTTTCTCAAGTTTGTACACATCAGTGAAAAGAAATCTGATCCTTACCAGGTTTTAAATTGAGTACATACAACCTGAGATGAACAAAAACACATGACATACTGCACCATAAAAATTAATCATCATGGTTAATCTTTTCTGTATGACTTCATCAGTCTCTCGCATGGCTCACTCTTCTTTACAATGTTGCTTCAGTTCCCCGTTTATGCACGGCTCTCTTAAGTTTCTCTCTGACACATGGACTGGACTGGGTCACTGCAACACCTTGATTATTTTCTTTTTCAGCCATTCTGTTGTAGCTTGGCCACAATAAAGGTTGTGGATGCTAAAAGGTAGAAAAGGTTGATTTTTGTGTAAATTTGTTTCGTTTTTTGGTATATTTTTGCTGTAAAAATGCAGCAATTTCAGGTAAATTGGGAACAAAATGTTTTTATTTCAAGTGTTTTGTTTCTGTGTTTCTGAAAAATCCGGTCTAGAAAATTCATCGTGACAGTCACGAAAAGCCGAGACACACTGAGGATATTCGAGTTGTATCTGGGTGAAAACAACAACAATGTCCACACCGAAAGGACTGCGTGTCTGTGTGGTGACATTTACTCAGCTCATCTCCTCCCTCCTCCCTTCTTGTATCAGGTGTCCAACTACATGAACTGGATGGTGCGTAACTTGGCAGACATGGAAGTACAGCTTGGCTCAGTCAAGAGGATTAACGGCCTGCTCAAAACTGAACCAGAGAATTACGAGGGACTGCTCAGTGAGTGCACTCTGCCGCCTCAAATTAAACTTTCTCTTACTGATTCAGCAGGCGCTCAGAGAAATCATGACTAACGTCTTACCTGAAAAGTGTTTGTGATTTCTTCTTGAGTGAAGAAGCCTGAAATTAACTCTACATTCATCACTGTCAGCTCAAGAAGGCTGTCATAATGCTCACGAGAAATGGATCTTTATTCCCTCTCGCACTTTTTGAAAACTCTGCTAATGTCTTTTATATCCCCTAATAATCGATCATGCATGCACCATGTAAAAGTGTGTGCGTGTGCAGTATGCAGTGCGTCTGTTTCTTATCCATAAAATGTGGGAAAGTTTTACATTTTGGTCACAAATTGAAGGAGAATATATGCTGGTAAGATGGATTCACTCAAGTTTTTTGCTTCTCGGATGGAAAAAAGATCAAATTGAAAGTCGTGATGTTTTTCTTGTGTGTCTCAGCTGTGTCTCAGGTTCCTGACGGCTGGCCCCGACAGGGACAGATCAAGATACAGAATCTGAGCGTTCGTTATGACGCCACGCTGAAGCCTGTGCTCAAAAATGTCAACGCACATATCAGCCCTGGTCAGAAGGTACAGGACAGAAACCTGTGTTTGAATGTGGAGGAGCATAACAGATTAAATGAAAACTATTTGGAGAAAAAACAAATATAGGTCATATAGTTGCATAACAGCTAAATGACGCAAATTTTGCATATTTCCATTTAATCTGGTGTTATTTTCCCTCAAACTTTTTGTATTTCTGTTTTTTATGTTATTATTTTACTGTTGGTGTTTGCACGTGTGCCCCGTCAGATAAGGAAGCTGTCATTCAAACTGTGTTATGGACTGTTTTTGATCAGCGTCAGACTCACAGCAGAAATACATACTAAGATTTAAATAAACCGGACAGCTAATTAACAGGAGAAATGATACAAGGTCAAATAAATAAATCACATTTAAATATAAATGAAATAATGTCTGCATTTATTTTTAATGCCACTTTGGATGCATTTAATGAAATATTAATGTATTCACTCAGTACTTTATTTTTTGTGATTTTTATTTTTATTTTACCAATTTAAGTCTTCTACTTGTGAAAAGAGATAATACAGAAAATACACATTTTAGTTTACTGAGCACTGGTGAGCCTTTTAATGGACTTTGACATGTTCAGGGAGTAGCCTGCTCTTGCTTTATCCTGCCTTAACAGCTAAGATAGACGCTAGCCACATGCCTCCCACACCAGTAAGCTGCTAAGAGAATGGATGGATAGATTAATGATGATAATTATGATGACTGTTTTTGCTTTTTTTCCCAGGTGGGGATCTGTGGCAGGACCGGCAGCGGTAAATCCTCTTTCTCCTTGGCCTTCTTCCGCATGGTGGACATGTTTGAGGGTAAAATATCACTTCGGCTTCACACCAGCACAAAAAAAAGTTAACAGGATAAAATATACATCTACTTTTGGCTGTTTGCTTATTCACACGTAGATCTGCACGTTTGATTTTTACACCAGATGCCCTTCCTGACATAATCCAAATGGGATTCGTGTCTCCACAGGGGATAAAATAATAATTGAAATAGTAGAAAAAAAGAGGAAAAGTGTCTTAATTGGTGAAATCGGGGTGTTTTTGTAAACTTCTGTCACACAGGAAGGATTGTGATTGATAACATCGACATCTCCAAGCTGCCTCTGCAGACTCTCAGATCTCGGCTGTCCATCATCCTCCAAGACCCTATACTGTTCAGTGGCACCATCCGGTACAGTACACTTCTCTGTAAAAAGAAGACTAGTGAATCAGTGATTCTGCATTATAGTAAACGAGGGGGTAGAGAGTCTTCAAAGACACAAAACAGGAGGTGAGCTAATTGTGGATAAGAGCAGTGTCCTCTGAAAACTGCAGTGAAGAGGTTTATTTTTAGACTCCAGCAGCACCGACCGTAAAAGCAACATCATCCCAGAGAAAAAACAAGCTGCACGATGGTCTCAGACTGTAGTTTTATCCAGTGATGTAAAAGCATATTTCAGTGTTTGTCCCTTTACATGTATGGACTCAGTTTGGTGATGACAGAAGGGTGTGTCGCTCGAGTTGACCAGCTCATACGCTTTAGTCCATTTACTGGAATATTCACTACACAGTCATCAGAGACGCTGCTTCACATAGATCATAATGAAAATGGCCCCAGTGACAGCTCGGAGGTGAGGATTATATTAAAGCTTAAATGTACAGACCACGAATAAAAATGACTTTTTTCAAAGCAAAAATACTGATTTCAGACCCTCAAAATATAATATTTATTATATCTTGTGAAATACAAACATGGATTTTTGATAACTTGGGATATTAGGAAGGATATTTCTCACTGTTTTATGACACTTTACAGATCATCCAAATATTTGTCATTCAAAAAAATGCCTAATCATGAAGTAACTGAAAGTTGCAGCACTAAATGTAGCTTGTTTTTGCGGATTTGTAGGTTCAACCTGGACCCAGAGATGAAAGCAACTGATGAGATGCTGTGGGAAGCGCTGGAGATAGCTCAGCTGAAACTTGTTGTTAAATCACTTCCAGGAGGCTTGGGTGAGACATCTGTGTTTGTTCATATGTGTGTGTCAACTTTATCGCATTTGCAAACTGTTTATTTTAAAAGACACACAGAGAGTAAAGTGTGCTCACCCGGATCTGAACATTAAACAGAAAAATTAATTCTTTCTCAGAAGTTACATGCACTCTGTCAGCGTCACATCTACCAGCTGCTCGAGTGTCCCCATACAAAGATCGAGCCGCTGTATCAGATGACATGAGCATTCATTTTTAACTCGCTGCAGTGGCTGTTTTATGTGCTGCTGCTCCGTCCTGCACAGTCTTCTGCTCGTGGTTTTGACACAGGACACTAGACAGTTGCCGCCAGCAGGACGACTCGCGGCCAGATCAAATATTATCTGAAAGTCAAGTCAGAAAATCCAACGTGCATAAATGATGAATGCTTGAAACGATGATGTTGCACGGGGCCGTCTTTGTGTGGACATTAACACTGGCGCGTGAGCACTTCCAGTTTATCACTCGATTCCTTACGTCTCTGCCGTCCTCTGCAATTCATCACAACAACAACAAAAGAAACGCTTCTCTTGTGACATAAGCCTGCTGCTCATCTCACATGATCAATTTTAGTCTTGTGTGACACTGACGAATGTGTGTGTGTGTGTGTGTGTCAGGTTCAAGCTAAGCTGCTTGCAGCTTTAGTTTATGTCTGCTGGAACCAGATGTTCAGTAAGATATTGATCCCTGAGGCTGGAGCTGATGGCTAATTAAGTTCGTCCTTTGATTTGGTTTAAGCAACAATACAGTGTGCTATAGATTTATGCTGTGTGGTGAACCAACCTGAGTCCTTGTTACTGCCTTTATATGTTCATAATGGCAACTGTACAGTTTGAGGAATTAAAAAATAACGTTATTAATCATATTTAATGCAAAACACCAAACAATGCCTCTCAGTGTGACTTCACTGCATAATGCAGCTCACCCCTCCCATCATTTCTAACCCTTTACATTCACCTTGTAACTAGTTTGATTCCTGTTGGAAGCCTCTGTTTGAAGAGTGACACGCATCCTACTGTTGAATAAACCGAGCGCCGGATCCTCTCGTTGTTTCTTCTTTCTGTATATTAATGTCAAACTTGCATGACGTTACAAACAAAAAGAAAATCTCAACATTCAGCGAATTATTTCATTAATTATTTACCTAATGGTAGATTTTTTATTCTGTGTTAGGTTAAATCACTAGAGAGCTCTTTGGTTCTTCAAGCATTTTTATGACTTAACCTTCATCATTTATAACACTGAGGAGAAAATGGGAAATCAATATCCTATTGATCTGCAATCCAAAACCTAAAGGCTAATTAACTTTACCCTCTTACTCTTTACACTCTTACTTAAGAAAATAACTGAACTACGTAGTTCCTCTGTAGTGTCATGTGTCGCAAAAAACAACAATAAAAAATGCTTCTAAATTCTGGAAATGATTGAAACATATTGAAGTGTATGTTTGTGTTTTCAGATGCCATAGTGACAGAAGGAGGAGAAAACTTCAGTCAGGGTCAGAGACAACTGTTCTGTCTGGCCAGAGCCTTCGTCAGGAAAAGCAGTATCCTTATCATGGACGAAGCCACAGCATCCATAGACATGGCAACGGTGAGTGTGTAATTAAACAAAGAGCATCTTTAAGGCAGAGAGTGGAGAGCAGGTGTGAAGAGAGAGAAAAGAAATGAGAAAATCAGAGAAAGGGGAGGTGAAGGACACGAGAAGAGGAGGGGTGACACAGTGCACGCGGTAATTTTCATCTGTGGGCATGGCAACAAAGAAAATGAAGGAAAAGCTGACAGACTGAATGATTTGTGAATAGATGTGCAAAGGTAAAAGCTTAACACTTTGTTCTTTTGTAGAGTAATATTACAAGAGGTACAGAACGAGAAAAAAAATCTCAGCAGTTTTGGGAGTAAATGGTAAATGACCTGTATTTGTATAGAGCTTTACTTAGTCCCTAAGGACCCCAAAGCGCTTTACACTACATGTGTAACATGTAGTGTACATGAGTAAACCTTTAACTGATGCTTTTTGCATGCAAGGAGAAAAAGTGTAGGAGAAAACATGCATGAAGTGCCAAGAGAAAATCTGAAATAGAAGGAAAATACTGAGCACACCGAGAGCCTGAGGGGAATTTCAGGAAATGGTTGCTCCGTACTTAAAAGCCTCTCTTTTATACGATTGGCCACAAAGAGCGCCAGTTCCAGCTTACAATAAGGCAGCAGCACTGCCCTCAAGGAAACACGATTGAGCCTGTAAGAAGGGACGAGACAATGAACAAGAGATGATGGTTTGAACAATAAGGGTGAAAACGTGATTTTTTTTTTTAAACAACACGAATGATGATGTTAACTATCGAAAGCACCTTTTGTTTTTACACAAACTCTGAATCCCAGTGAAGATAAAAGCATGTTTGCTTAAACTAACCTCCCTGCCTCCATCTCCACAGGAGAACATCCTGCAGAAAGTGGTGATGACTGCTTTTGCTGATCGAACAGTAGTTATAATAGCAGTGAGTATATCCCCCTTGCCATTTACAGTAATGCATACAGCTTCGGCATTATCACAAGGACTGCTGACCTTTGCACTGCACTGCTGACGCTTTAAACAATAGCTTTGCCGGCATTTTAACCTTGAAAAGCTACAAATACAGTGCTAGTTATTGAAAGAGGAAATCAAGGCATGTTTCTGGTCTTATTCTTTGTTATTGCAATTACATTATAGAGAAATAACAGAGGTTAAAAAAAAAGTATGATAAAATGTGTGGTGCTCACTTTTAATATTTCTCATGAAATATTTAAGAACAAAAGCCAAACAGCCAGAAACCTGATGAACTCTGGTATTTACAGTGGATGCAACCACACACTTAATTTACCAGCTTTTTCTATCGCAGCTTTGTTTCTAAACCGTCCGAGTGATCTAGCATTGGCTGGACTGCTCACTGCAGTAATTACTTTCTTCTGCTCTGTCGCGCAGCATCGCGTCCACACCATTCTCAATGCCGACCTGGTGATCGTGATGAAGCGGGGGATCATCCTTGAGTACGACAGACCGCAGGCTCTGCTGGACAAGGAGGACAGTGTCTTCGCCTCCTTTGTGCAAGCGGACAAGTAGTGCAAGCGGACAAGTAGCACAAGAGGAGGAAGAGTGTGGAAGCATTAAAGGAAGACATTCAAAGTGCAATTGATCCCATGGAATATATTCCTTTTATTTTTTAATCATGTTGTATTATATTTGTACATAAGAATGTTAATGCTTTGTTAATAAAACATAACTTATCCTTAAAGTGTGTGTCCAGAGTTATTTGTGCAGTGAGACTAAAAGTGTGTTTTGGGCATTTGTTAAACTTGCTGTTTGAAACTGATTAGTCATCATGGGATTGTAAGTTTAAAATGACCTGGAGCTAAACAGACAAATAAATGCACACTGCCAGAAACAAAGCATGCTATAAACATTCTTCATGTGCTTCTAGTGGGATTGAGGCTGCACTTAATGGAGTGAACACTGACAATCTGACAATAGAAATTTATAAAGCTGGGATGGGCTCGGAGATGAAAAACAAAACAGACAAGATCTGGTTTCTGTGGTTGACCAGCCCACTGCCTGCTAGTGCCTAATGTTGTTTAAGTTACAAAAACTCTGACCATTATATGATCGGATAATAAGCTGCCTGTGGCATAGCAGCTACACGGCTGAACAGTTCTTAATGCGTAATGGTCTCTCCTGCATTCTCATTGAAAATGAAAGGAAGGGCACCACTCTGGTGGTAATGGTGGTAGTGGAGGGAGGGACTGCCTCTCCTTCTCACGTTACCAAGCTATAGCGAAGTAGCGAGATCAGCAAAGAGCCAACTGCGCCTCATGACCCTGCCTCCTCTTCCAAATGTGATAAAACTCAGCTCAGAGGCCCATTACGCGGCGATAGAAGGAACATTTTACATCTCACTCGATTTCCTTTACGCACAGGGCCGCGGTGAGTGCATACCAACGCAGCGGTAGATGGAGATCACAATGGGAACAAAGCGGTGTGCCACAACTACGCATGGTCGCTCCATTTCGTGAGTGACGGCGTCAGCTGCGGAGCTGTTAGAAGAATCTTCTCATGGGATTTGGCGGTTGCGAGGCGCCTGATCTGGAGGCAACGTGAGGAGCACACATACCTCCAGAAAACAGGGCACTACAAGGCTCTCCCTTCGTGCACCTGACAGCTGCCGAAAAGCTGACACCGCACCGGTGAGTACCGGCTGGTAAGAGAAGTCACCGGGAGAGAGGAGAATTCTTTTTTTTTTCATCCAAGCACAAGCAGGCAGCACCTTCAAAGCGAAACGGCTGTGGGTACGTAGCATGGGAGCGCTATGTTGTCCAGGAAAGGACTCATTCCTGAAGATTACTTGCTTACACGTTTGGCCGAGGATGTTCTGCAGCCCAAGTTCAAGGCGAAAGCGGGGAAGGCTCGGTTCGTCTCCAAGAACGGCACATGCAATGTGGCGCATACCAACATCCGAGAACAGGGCCGATTCTTGCAGGATGTGTTTACCACGCTCGTGGATTTAAAATGGCTTCACACGCTCATCATTTTCACCATGTCGTTTCTGTGCAGCTGGCTCCTTTTTGGAATGATCTGGTGGCTCGTTGCGTTTGCGCACGGCGACTTGGACCAGAGCGGAGACGACTTTATCCCGTGCGTAACGGATATTCACTCCTTCTCCTCCGCGTTTCTGTTCTCTATAGAGGTCCAAGTGACCATCGGCTTCGGGGGCCGGATGATCACGGAGGAATGCGTCTCCGCTATCATCATTCTGATCGTGCAAAACATCGTCGGGTTGGTAATCAACGCCATCATGCTTGGCTGCATCTTCATGAAAACCGCTCAGGCCAACAGGCGCGCGGAGACGCTCATTTTCAGCAAACACGCTGTTATCTCTGTCCGAAACAACAAGCTCTGCTTTATGGTTCGCATCGGGGACCTGAGGAAAAGCATGATCATCAGCGCCACCGTGCGAATGCAGGTTGTCAAGAGAACCACCACGGAGGAGGGAGAGGTGGTGCCACTAGACCAACTCGACATACACATGGATAACCCAGTGGGTACCAATGGCATCTTCCTGGTATCTCCCCTCATCATCTGTCACATAATTGACAAGCACAGCCCCCTTTACGAGCTTTCAGCCTCTGATCTGTTACACCAAGACATAGAGGTGATCGTTGTGTTGGAGGGGGTGGTGGAGACCACCGGTATCACCACCCAGGCCAGGACGTCCTACGTGTCTGAGGAGATCCTGTGGGGACAGCGCTTTGTGCCTACAGTGTCCGAAGAGGACGGCATGTACGCAGTGGACTACTCCAAGTTTGGCAACACTATGAAGGTCCCAACACCTTGCTGCAGCGCTAAGAAACTGGATGAGGCAGGTGGCATCGCTCGGTTTAAACTGACCGAGGGCGTCACCTTGCGGGCGTCAGTAAGAAGACGTCGGGGCTCCGCGGTGGCTCGAAGGTCCAGGCTGGAGACCATGAAAGCTCACGATTAAGAGTGTGAAAATCATGTCTGCGAGCATTTTGTATGAGTGTTAACAGTCTAAGATTGGTGGTTATAGATTCAGATAATCATATTTATTTTATAACATATGACAGGGATTACCTGTAATCAACAATCAGCATATTCTCTGCAGCCGTATGCAGCCCGTGCGCACAACATGCTTTTATACTCAGGGTCAGCGTGAAAATGAGATAGAATGCACTGATGATTAGAAGTGACTGTTGTATCAAGAGTGAATCAGCTTGCCTTTTATTTAAAGAAAAAAGTGACTGCATGTGTCCTAAATAAATAAAAGAACGCTGCTAGAAATGGTGTTGTGAATGCGTCACAAGACGGAAATGAAATTAGAACAATGAGGCACTCCCACAATTAAGCAAGGCGTTCTCAACATGCGGAAGAACTCATTAGTATATCCCCTGATTTTACACAGCATAAGTTATAGCACAGTAGGCTGTAGCACTAAACAAAAAACTGCACTACAGTTTCTCATTACTCTTGTCGATGGCTACATAGCTGCCAGCTACTCTGACAAAGATTAAAATACAAACAGTCAAAGATCAGGGCTGAAGAAGCAGCCATACCCAAACCCAACTCTACAGGCTGGATCAAACTAACCTTACAGTTCCCACAGTACAGTCAAAAGAATCATTTACATTTTATGAGATCGCATTTTCCACTTGCAGAAAAAAGACGAAATGTAAAGTATAAAATATATTTATTAAAGAAGCATCGTGGATGAGATTGTGCTATACTCAAGTATGACTTCCCTCCAGTTAGCTCTTTTCAAGTTTCACATGTATCCTTCCACAAAGTCTCTCCAGATAAGCAACCAAAGGTTTTGGCATTTTCTCCCTAAACAGACAGGCAGCCAGACTGCCCTCGAGGTCTCCACAGAGGCCAAACGGAAGAAAACTGAGTTCTTCACTCTCCAAAAAAAGATATCTTTTGCCTGCCTCCCATCTTCCATTCATTCTAACAAGCTTCTGGTCATACTAAAGAACCTTTGATCACCATTACAAAAGGGTCAACACATGCTGAGTAGTATTTTATCTTAGGAGTGAGGTGGAAACAAAAATTCCAGTGTGAAGTTGGTGGAGTTCCCATTAAAATGCTCACATCAGGCTGATTCTTCAATTCCCACAAAAAACAAAAACAAACAAAAGACACAGAGACAGCTGGCATTTCTCTCTTTTATTAGATTATAATCCGCAGAGCTTAAAATATTAAATTGCTTTTAACTTAGTTAATAATTAAAATACATAAAAACAAGAGCCAGAACTGAGGAACCCTGCAAAAAAAGTTAAAATAAATAAAAAAGGAGAATTATAAATTGAATCCTCCTCCATACAGAGGCTATTTCTGACAGAACCCGCTTGTGATTCTTTGTACAGTAAAGTCCAAGCAGACTGTGCATTTTCTATACATGTGTAATGATACTGTTATCATTTCCAAAGTAATTTTTCCTCTGATATATATATAAAAAAACAAAATTAAAAGGAACGGGAAAAAAAAAAGAAATTTTTATTTTGCACTGGAATTACTGGTTTAAACAGCAGAGCAGCGTCACACCATTGCCCTCACCTCTCACTCCATCCCTCTCTCCCCCTCTCTGCGCCTGCAGACATTACCTCATGTCTTTGTCCTTCTGTGCTGCTGGAGTGAGTGGGTGGAGATGGTGTTGGTGGGTTAAGGGGCTGCTGCTGTGTGAGACACCAGCAAACAGCTCTGATTCACCTTATGCAGGCACCAATCTGTCTCAAAGTCTCGATTCTCTGATAGGATTAAATATCTCTCATACAATCTTTATATTCTCTTCTCCGTCTCCCTGTTTCTGTGGCATCTTCCACATCTTTGCTGCCCTCTAAAGGTAAGCTCTGGGATATTTTTGTTAAGGGGTTCCCCTGGTGATTATTTGACTATATTGTAGTTAAACACAATCGACATCTGTCTGAGCAGTCTGATGAACAAGGGATAGAGAATGAAAATGAGTAGAGTCTCTCTGGCAGCAGTGACGTATTCTCTCAGGTCCTGAGTAGGAAGCGCTTTAATCATCCCCCACATAAACAACCCAAAACAGTGATTGGCTAGTATCGCCCCTGTCAGGCAGTAACATGGCTCCCTACTGGCCAGGGTAGTGGCCGTGCGCCTGTCGGCCGCCTCCCACTGTCGAAGGGGGGAAGAACAAGCCCACAAGTCAGCAGAGACGCCTCTTCTCCACACATCAACAACACTGTACAATAGTAGGTCGAAGCAAAGCAGAGCCCCCCTTCCTGTACTGTATGTTAGGCAGAGGATAGAGGGAGGTGAAGTGCTGACAAACACACTGCACCTCCCTCTCAAACCAAAAATAAAAAGTCAACAAAAAATAAAAGAAAATAAAAACCAAAAAAAATAAAAGACATACTTTTTGTTCCTAGTTTAAATTGCAGAGAAGGTGGGAGGAATTTGTCCCTTGGAGGAACGCTCACGCCAATTCCTGCTGGCGTGACAAACTCCTCCCCTACCCACCACCCCAACCCTCCCCCTTGAAAAATCCCCCCTCCCGCCCTTTCCTTCCGGCTGGTTGGTTGGAGTTGTAGCGAAATATAAGGGTAGTGGAAGGTCTCTTAAGTCCTGCTTGCACCAGGGCCTGGCTGTCTGTCCTTCTCCATCTGATCTTCTAACACCCCCGCGGCTGCCGTTTTACCACCGCCCCCCCGCTCATCTCTCCGTCACGTGGTTTTGTGAAGAAGGGGAGGGTGCTGTGGCGGAGGGGGCCGGGGTTAGTGCTGGCAGCGGGGCAGGGGCGCAGAGGATTTCGGACAGGTCGTCCATGATACAGGTCTCCTTGGGGTCGACCAGGTTGAATTCCCTTACGAAAACGATGAAATGTGCATACAGAGTGTTCAAGTGGCCCTGCAGTTCCAGAGCTACCGTCTCTTTAAAGTGCGCCCAGTAGAGGTGAGCCAGCACGTGGAACAGGTACCGGCAGATCTTCTTTACCAAGGACTCAAAGGAGTTGGGGAACTCTTTGCCTGAAACGAGAAAAAGACAAAAACAATAATAACTAAATGACTGAGCTTTTGGCAGTATTATGTACTGGCTCGTGTTGCCAGTCCCTGAATAAAATATTATAACTTGGTGTGAATGCAAAACTAAAGATGCAGCACTGCTGCAGGTTTGCATTAAAAGTGAGTTATTTAAAAAGTGCTGATAATATTCATTGCTTAGATAATAAAGTAAAAAATCCCAAGACTCACAAAGCCTTTTGATTGCAATCTACAATTTCTTCCTGCTGTTACTCAATGGACTGCTGCTGATTTATGGTACCCTACACTTCCACATCTGCACCAGCAGGGGGAAGTAAAGTGCTTTAACACTTCAGAGCTGCTCTGGCCCGCACTCACCATATTTTGTAGGAAAGATTTCCTCATCTGTGACCAGTTTCTGACAAAGACTCATTACAAAGTCTACATATTGTGGAGCAGTGCACTTCGTCTTCTTCCCCTTCTCGTCATACCAGTAGTATATTCTAGAAAGAGAGTAACACAGAGGAAACGTCACAATCCCTGTTATTACAACAACATTAAGACATGAATGGAGAACAGGATGTGATTACACAGCAGTGATCAGAGCTTTAATAATCATAATGAATGCTGCTGAAAGAATGTGTGTGGCTCATGTAGCAGCAGCA